CAGCCCCGCGCGGGCACCAGGCTCTGCCTCCGCCTCGGCCGCGCTGCGGGGCCCGCGCTCGTCCGCCCTGGCGCCAGCTCCGTCCAGCTCCCGCTCATCAGTTCCCTGCTTCAGAAATAAACGTAGAGATGGAAATTGCGGCACTTCCTTGTGAACTATAGTGAACATGGCTTTGCAGTCTTGCACTCCATGGTGACCAATCTATAAGCTTTTGCCATACTGCAGTCTGCAGTCTGTGTTTTCATCACCCGGCGGAGCCCGCAGTTAAGGACCGCGCGTTTGCTGTTGGCAGTTTGGCTGCTCACCAGCCAATGAGTGTGGTGCAGAGCTGCTCCTTGCGAGTGAGCCTACACTAATGTGTCCTTTATGGTGCCATCTTTAGATGAGGAATATTGCAAAGTCTCCAGCCCTTAGAGCATAATAAAACTGGGATACTACTTTGAAATACTGCTCAGTGATGGATTTCATGAGAAATAAGCCTGAAATAATGATGTTCATTTTGTTTTGTTTTGTTTTTCTTTTGAAATACAGACGTATCAAGTTGACTTGAAGCCAAATGGGTCAGAAATTATGGTAACAAATGAAAACAAAAGGGAATACATTGAGTACGTATGTATTTTTGGACTTTATCCAGTGTAACCAGCACAGCAGTGCTCTTGTGGGAATGAAGGCCCCGCAGTTATTGCAGCGTGCAGATCCGCAGTGAAAACAAAGCTCTGTCAGAGAGCTCGTTGCTCCCCCGCTGCTCCCCCGCTTGGCAAGGCCGCGCGTTAGCGGCGTCGCTGCCCGGGCCGCGCGCAGGGCGGCCGAGCCCGGGGATCCCTCCTTGAGCAACCGGGGCTCAGACCGCTCTGAGGGAGTCACCCACTCCAGACCCCTTGCAATCGTGGCAAAGAACCCGCACATCTTGGGCGCAGGAATGTTAGATAGACGTACGGATTCCACCACATTCCGTGCCTTTTACTGTCTGATGGGCTGCAAGGTCACAGAACACAAATCCTGTCTGGATGGGAACAATAAGCTGTCTAAACAGAAAGAATGGGAAGGAGATGGCATTTCTTCAAATTAACTTGCCATTTTGATTGTCATTTGAGGAAGGGCTCAGGAGATCTGCACACATTTAAGTATTTTTCTCCTAAGAGAAAAACGGCTTACTTGTTTGTTAATCACATTTGCAGTGTTGCATTACGTGATCTGACTGTAATGGGGGAACAACAAGAAATTTCTGCTTTTAGGAACTCCTTTGTACAATTACTTTCATGGCAAGGAATATGTTTATGCTGTCAAATCTTTAGTTTTTCAGGCATATTGGTCGTGTTTGCAGATGCGAAATATTACACATCATAAACATTTCTTGCCTTTGTAATCTCCATACACTGCAGTAAAGAAAAGCTCTTTGAAAATGTGCATTTTGAGATGCATAACTGAATTACGAGTTCATCTAAATGCCTCTTGCATGGCTACCCACATATTGGTTTATATTCTTAAAATTAAGTTTTGTTTGCATTCTTTCACTTGGAAATGACTTGCATAAATCAAAAATCATAGATTTATTCTCTGGAATTCCCTTATGATGGTCCAGTTCATATGCTAAAGAACAAGCAAGCAAGCAAACAAAAAAAACACAAAAAAGCAAACCAACAAACCCCTGCGGGTTTAGTCACGAGTGGAAATCCACCTTTGCTTCTTTGTCTTCACGTAACACCCGAGCGGGGCATCCTCATGTGTGCTGAACACGGGGGTGCTGCACAAAGAATCTCTCTCTAATAGAAAATTTGGGTTTTCATTTAAAGAATACCTAGTTATTATTACAGGAAAGAATGAATACTTGAATTGACTAACTAGCGTATAAAAACACATATCTTGTGTTATTTCTTTAAGCATTGTGAGTGACCACCAAAGGAGTACTACTCAGTACCATAACACCACTTTTGCATACTCCAGTTTGCACATGCATTGTCCAGTACAAGAACAAAAACAGAACAAAACAGTTTGTTTTTTTCTGAAACTGCCTCCATAGCCAAGACACAGGCTTCTCCAGTGCGACCCAAAGTGCCTAAGATGGGCCCAAAGCTGCTTTCCACAGCGGCCTTCATCCCATCATCTTTCTCTGTTAGGTACACAGACCAGATCTGTGGTTTTGGTCACCATCAAAAATTGGCCAAATTTATATTCTATTTGTAGAATATAAAATATTCAATTCAGAGTATAAAATATTCAAAAATATTTGTTGCTATTCATAAGTATCTCCTCAAAGTGACAAATGTTGTAATTGTCAGGTTTACAAGTACAGAAATTACGTTTGCAACTTGCTGGAGTAGGAAGCGAGTGGGTTCCTGGGCTCCCCCGAGGTCTGGGTGCAGCCTGGTTAGCACCGAAAC